ATCTTGAGATTACCTCGCAATTATGAAAGTCTTGAGTATGCACAAATATCTAAAATTGTCTGACAGTTTATTTCTCTCTCCGGACATGTAGTCTTTACGATTAGTACATAAAGGTTATCAAGTAAACTTAGGTTGATATTTGATATTGGTAAGGCTTGATGGAAAACGTTGCCTTGTATTATAGTACAAAGGTATAGATCGCAGCACAAGCGAACTCACTTAAACAATTATACATCCACAAAGTGTCTCACAAAGGCCGGAATTTCAGTCACAACTGCACTGTGGGACCTTACTGACCAGGACCCGGTTGTATCAAACTTAAATAAAGCTTTAATCGTTAATTTAACTATGATTAGTTAATCATTGATTATCTTCAGTTGCATGAAACCCTTTATAAAGGAATCCCTTCATTAATCCATCATTAAGCTAATGAAGGTTTGGGGGTATCATTAACTCGTCATTAGCTGTATCAACATGGCATGGGTCTCTACACTTTGAGCTTCTGAAAATAGATAGGATTTTTGGTTTGTTTTTTTAAACTTAGATATAAACTATGCCACCCTTCCACAAAGTCATTGAAAATAAAAGAAAAATGACAAATGCAAATACGGACCCGAGCCAAAAATATTTGCCACTTAACTTAATTTCAATAGACTTACATGTGAATTTAGTGTAGAAAACACAATTTTTATTTAATTAATTCTGATGGAATCGGAAAATTCTGTCGAAATTCTGTGGGTGTAGCTGAGATGATTACTGTGCTCACTTTAATTAGGACACAGCGAAAATTAAATTCATGGAAAATATTTATGCTACACGAAATTAACATACCGTATAAGTCTCTGGAAATTACATCACATTACTAATACTGTTGACACAGGCCTGTATTTCCTCAAGCGCTTTTTATTTGATGTAATTACATTACGAGTTTTCGATGATAATTCCCTGAAATATTCTAAATTTTACAGCATAATTAATAATAACAGCAGCGTCAAATGACTCTGTCTGTTACTAACTTTGCTACATTTTTGCACAACCCTTTTAATATTGTCGCTTCTTAAATATTTGCATTGTGAGAAACATAATAGGAAGCGTATGCAAAGTGTAACGGGATGGGTTCCATGTACAAAAATAGTAACAGGGGGACGTCACTCTTGTGAGAAAAGAGTGAACGGCCTTCACATTGATTTGGGTATTCGTTGAAAGAGGACGCACGTTATGTACAGCGGGTGAAATGTGATTGAATAAAGTTCAACTGCATTGTACAGAAGGTAAGAATATGAAATGAAACTGTCCGCAATTTCGACATTATGTTTTGAAGTCGCAAGCTAGCCTATGTCTTCGTCTACTTGCTATTTTGTTTTAATACTTGCATCGACATACATAATCGATACTAACATCAATCAAAATTAAAATTAATGATCTTTATTATCAGTTTGTAGAACTATTTACCTTGCAAGGGAACAGGAGATTCCACTCCGGCCACACCGTTGAAACATGCGGAATCCGAATAAATATCCATGATTTTCTCGATGGAAGAGGAAACAGGCTTGGGACATGGACCGCCACCTGTTTTTTCGTTTGAAGTTTTCTACCTGTAAACTCTTTTTTTTGGCATTTTGAAACATATTATTCCATTTTGTCTTGATTTCTTTGGACGTCCTATTGCCTACCCCAAGGCTATTGATCTCGGCCGTTATTTTGTCCCATATCTGCTTCTTTTTGTCATTAGTTATGGGGTTGGTAAGTTTGCTGTTTAGCACACCGATATGATCTTCAACTAGATCTGTTAGAAGTTGTATTTCACAACTTTCAAAGTTTTTGCTGCGATTTCTGACGGCAGCCATGATGCAGACGATCGATGAGTGTTTACATGCAATGCATCATGGATAATAATTAGGGTATTCCCCTAAGTTAATCATGGTTTAATGACGGGACCTTTATTAGAGGCATACTTAGTTAATGGGTGTTTAAATAAGGGTTTATACAACCGTATTTAAACACTTCATTAACTAATCAAACATTAAGTATTTAATCAATGATTAGTGTTTAATTGATGATTACATAATTACGTGTTGATACAACCGGGTCCAGTATGATATTGTGACAAGTAATGACAGTGCACAGATGCTCCTGACAATTGTTCAAGAACCTTCTTTCGTGTGCAGCTCTTAGCTAATGCACTTCCCTAGCGTGGGGACCTTGTGTTCCTCTAAAACTTCAGTATCTTTGTCCCCATTAGGTGTCAGATGAATAGAAGAGACAAATCCCTTTCCACATTAACAAAGACTTTCTACATTAACAATGTTCTGCTTAAAGCAGAGTCAAATGTACAATTCTGACTGCATCATGACTATGCATTTGTTTCAGCAGTATTACAGCTGTGCAATGTTGTTTGTAATCCGTCGAGTCTGGACCAGACAGTCCAGTGATAGTCTCAATGCGATACGACCACAGAGCATGTGTTTATCATGTGTGAATCACTATGAATTACTGATGACACCAGGTGTTCGCGAAAAGGTGAACATATTCTGCCTGACCCGTGGCACCCGGCATAAACATACTAGTATGCAAACAACACATGTGTCATGGAGCTGTGCTCCCGAGGGCAGGGTGTTATTATGCAAGAATAAAATAACGATCGAAAAAGTGGAAACAATTCACAGTTGTATTACAATCAGCCAATTGTATCAATAGACGATAATATACACGATACCAACACGAATTTACACTGACAACGATTTCTGGTAAATTTTAAAGCTCATAAATGCACAAGCTCATTAGATGGTAAAAAGTATCTGAATCAACCTTTGATAAGGTATTGACAAGATGCATAGATAACTAATTAATCGGGTGCAACCAATTAAATACGTGAATTCAACACTTCAACCTGTGCGACTAACCGTAACTGGTTAATCAGCCTAATCAAAATAAGCCTCAAAATAGCCTTAACACCTGTGTAAGTCCGTATACGAGAGAAAACTGCTCCAAGTCCCCCACAAAACTGCCCCACCAGACAATGTGTTGCATTGTTATCCATTAACTTGCTTAATAGCGAACCCGAAATCCAGTTAAATTCATCACCTTTATTCGTTGTATACATTGCTACCATGCATATATGGTATATACATTATGGACTTGTGTCCACTTGTCTTGTGGTGAATAGGATGAGGAATAGGGTAAAAGCTGTAACAAATAAAGGGATCATAAGTCCATATAAACAATGAAATATAGTCCTCAAAATGTTTTACAAACATCTCCCATTAACTTTTATGTCAATCCATGAATACATGTATCTTGAACTGTTATGGTAAAAAGCAATGTACCAATGAACAAAATTATATAAGCCAGTGTCCTTTTAAACCTACTTTCATGAACACGTTAATATGAATAACACATGAAGAAATTTCAAGTAAATACCATCAAATTCCCATGAAAATCGACCAAATTACTATGGTGAACATTCAGAAATGAAATACCAACAATCTCCATAAATATTAGGAAATTCCACAACGAAAGTAAATTCATTAGGTAATGGTTTTATCCATATGAAATAGGAAAAATATATGGTAATAGCATTACAATGCTTAGAATATACCTGTAGCATGAAATGTGCCATAAATACAAAAAGTAAAGAATACATACACTTTGGTGATTCACTGTGGGTTTGTGTGTGAAAAGGAGCAACATTTCAATGTTGACTTCAGCGTGATGCTGCCTGGCCGACTGGCCGGCTATCCCTGTTTTAAAATGACGGACAGAAACTCTCGCTTTTAACCAACTTGCACGTGCTGATCGTGCGCAAACCGAAACCAGGTATCGGCACTGGTTTGACAAACCAGTTACGGTCCTAAGAGAAAAATACATAAAAAAGGTTTCACTGTCGTTTGTGACAGCACACTCCCCACCTAATATCTTGGGGAAAAGATATTATTTATAAATTCAAAATACAAACTGAAATAACACAATCCGCAATAAAACTGGGAACCAGGTCATTGCTGCTAAAACAAAACATATTGCTAAACATCAACAAATCCTTTCTGGAAAAGAAATAATTCAGAGTCTTGATGCACTTTTTCATACATAATATATGGAACCTGTGAAATGAAAAATGTCAATTAATTTTCTGAAACTAAGAGAACAATGTCAGAGAGTGGGCGGGTAAGAAGAGTTGAATTTCCATCTCTGGTTACTCTGACCACAGCTTTGCGCACTTTATCATCACTACTTGGCAAAGCTTTATCCACTATTCCGACTGGCCACACGTTCCTGTGAACATTCTTGTCACAGAGCAAAACTACATCACCATCTTTTATATTAGTCTCAGGATGATGCCATTTTCTTCTTCGCTGTAATGTATGCAAATACTCATTGCGCCATCTCTTCCAAAATGTGTTTGCAAGAGCCTGTACTTGTTTCCATTGAACTGTGTACAAAGTTGTGATATCATCCAAATCTGTGAATGAATTTGTTCCAGTGTCCATTTTCTGGGTCAGTAGGACAGAAGGGGTCAATATGAACGGGTTATCTGGGTCAGTGGATACTGGTACAATTGGCCTATTATTGACAATTGCACATACCTCGAGCATTAGTGTACTCAAAACCTCGTGTGTAAATTTCCTGGAGGGAACCTCTGTCAACATGCTGTTGAGGATACGTCTGACAATACCTATCATCCTCTCCCAGGCTCCTCCCATATGTGATGAATGGGGTGGATTGAAAATCCATGTAGTTCGGTTGTCCGATAGATATTTCCCAATTTTTCCATCTTAGACTCTGAGACAGTCCATTCCCAAAATATCTGCTGACCCAACAAAGTTCGTGCCTCTATCAGATCGAAATTCCTTTACCTTGCCTCTGATAGCAATAAAACGCCGCAATGCATTAATAAATGACGATGACGACATTTCCTCTATTAACTCAATGTGGATTGCTCTGCAAACTAAACAAGTAAACAAGATTGCCCACCTTTTACTGTGTGCTAGACCACCTCTGGTTCTTCATGATGCCACAGTCCAAGGTCCGAATGTGTCAACGCCAGTAAATGTGAAAGGAGGAGAAGGTGTGAGACGGTCACTTGGAAGATCAGCCATAAGCTGCGTGGCTGGCCTTTTCCTCATCTTCCTACACTTGACACACTTGTGTATGGTTGAAGAGATGAGTCTCTTGCCCCCTAGTACCCAGTATCCAGCTGCTCTGACTGCTCCCTCTGTAAAGTGACGTCCCTGATGCCGTACCTCTGCGTGGTAATGTCTGACTAGCAGTACTGCAACATGTCCTTTAGGAATGATGACTGGTGTTTTCTGCTTTACATCAATCTGTGAATAACGCAAACGACCTCCGACACACAAGAGTCCGTCTTCATTTAGATATGGGTTTAGCGACAGAATTGTACTGTTAGATGGAATCCTTGACCCGGACCTTACACAGTCTATTTCCGTCCTGAAATGTTCCATCTGTACCTCCTGTATGATGAAAATCTCTGCATTTCTGAATACATCTGTAGGGGTTAATTTAAATGAATCCGGTTTCCTGGTAGCAATGAACATCTTCAGGAATGAAATAGCCCTTACCAGAGATTTCCAATCTGAGAACCTCTCAAATCTTTCCGATCTTAAGGATTGACCTACATGAACTTTTGTTGCTACAGCTGTAACAACCTCTTCAAACTCTGATTGGTCCTCTTGAAGCTGCATTTTCCCTGTTCTGTCAAGAAAGTGTGGTACACCTTTAAGCCATTTATTTTCTCCAAAGTTTGTCATCGACACAGGTCTGGTAGCAACATCTGCAGGGTTCATGTCAGATGGTATATAGATCCACTGATCTGGCATAGATATTCTCCTGATCTTCTGAATCCGATTGGATACATAAATGGTAAACCTCTTGGATGTGTTCCGGATATAACCCAACACAATCTTACTATCCGTATAGTAGTGTACAGAGTCTAGTGGTAAATTCAGGTGCCTGGACACACAGTCAGCAACATCTGCCGCTAATACAGCAGCGCAGAGCTCTAACCTGGGTATAGTATGAGCATGACTTGGGACTACCTTAGCCTTTCCCAAAATGAACCCATTGTGGGATACGCCATTTTTATCTACAGTACGAAGGTACGCTGAAGCAGCTATGCTTTTCTCAGAGGCATCTGCAAAAATATGAATCTCCTTCTTGACTGAATGTCTGAATGATGAAGGAACAAACATACGAGAGATGTTTACGTCCTCCAGTAGTATAAGAGAATCCCTCCACTTTTTAAATTCTGATACCTTACCTAAATCCAACTGATCATCCCAATCGTACTTGTCTCTCGCTATGTCCTGCAGGATTTGCTTCCCTTGAATGACAATAGGTGCGATGAATCCAAGGGGGTCAAAAATACTATGGACTGTTGACAGCACGCCTCTTCTAGTGCATGGTTTCATCTCTCTAGATGAACGAAAAGTGAAAGTGTCTGTGTTGATGTTCCATAGCATTCCTAAACTTCTTTGAAGGGGAAAGCTGTCTGTCCTTAAATCCAAATTCATCAAGTTCTTGGCCAGATCCTCTTGAGGAAAAGCTTTCATTACAACACTGCTGTTAGAGACAACCTTGTGAAGCCTGAGATTTCCATTTTCCTGTAGGGATTTCTGTGTTCTCTTTAAGAGATCTACTGTTTCCTCTGGGGTTGGACATGACGTCAAACCGTCGTCTACATAAAATTCATTTTCAATGAAAGTCTTAGTATCGAGGCCATAAATGTCTTGACCTTGAGTGGCTGCTTTCTTCAGTCCATATGTCGCTATTGATGGGGATGGTTTGTTGCCAAACACGTGAACTCTCATCCTGTATTCGGTGAGCCTTTTGGAAGGATCATTATCCTCATACCAGAAAAAACGTAGGAAATTCCTATGTTCCTTTTTGACTTGAAAACAGTGAAACATACTTTGAATGTCTGCCATTGCTGCCACTTCCTCTTTCCTGAACCTCAACAACACACCAAGAAGACTGTTCATGAGATCTGGGCCCTGCAAAAGTACATTATTCAATGATATACCATCACACACTGCTGAAGAGTCAAAGACTGCCCTTATCTGATCGGGTTTCTTGGGGTGATACACTCCAAAAATTGGTAGATACCAATGTTCCTCACCATCCTCTAATGGTGGTGCCAGTTCTGCATGGTTTGAGTCAAAGATTTTCTTCATAAAGTCTACGAAGTGGGCGCGTTTTATGGGATCTTTCTGAAGACTCCTGTCCAGTGAATATGCTCGATGAAAAGCCTGTGATTTGTTACCTGGAAGACGACGTCTCTCTGGCTTGAATGGCAGGGGTGCTGTCCAGAATCCTTCGGGACCCATAGTCATCTCATTGTCCATTATCTGTAAGAAATCTATGTCTTCCATTGACTTACCCTGTTTATTGTCATCCTTTGTGACCTCAAAAATCGAGCTAACCTTTTCCACATAAAGGTTATTAGGGCATGGATGAAAAACAGATCCCCGATGATCCTGTCCTGTCCTTGAGATGTATATCTTGTTGACTGTCACATGGTTGGGTCGGTGAACCTTCCCGAGGCATGTCTCTCCTATCACGACCCACCCTAAAGCAAGCAGCTGTGCATAAGGGGAACCTTTGGGTCCAATCTTCTGGTCCAAGACATGGTGTGCTTCAATGACGTCTCGACCTATTAACAACAATATTTGTGCGTCATTGTCAAGTTGGGGAATCTGGACATCCTGTAGATGTGGATAACTGAGAACTATCTCTGGTGTTGGAATTTCTTCCCTCATATCTGGTACCTGAGGACATTCAATGACATGTGGAACATCAAGAGTGTGTGATCTGTCAAATGATTCAACTACTAAGTTAGAAGCTCTTCTACCATAGGTGTCTGAAGTTCCTGTACATGAGGAAATTGTGTACTGAATGTCATCGGTGTCAACCTTCAGGAGATCAAATAGTTCTGGGCGAGCGAGTGTGACATTACTCTGGTCATCCAGAATAGCATAAACCTTTACTGATAATTCTGGCTTGTCCTTATGATATACCCTCACTAAGACTGTCTTAGAGCAAGATTTACCCCCAAAAGTCTTTCCACAGATCTGTGAACACTTGGAGATCACCTGGTCCTTCTGTTTCTCCCCACCGTTCTCCTGTAAAGTTCTGTCCTCAGATTGTGCTGAAGAATACTCAAAATGCAGGAATGTAGGATGTTTAGATGTGCCACATATTCCACATTTAATTTCCTCTCTACAGTTTCTAGCCAAGTGTTTGTTATTCATACAACATCTGTAGCAATAGCCATGTTTCTTGAGAAAGTCTTTTCTTTCCTTGTAGGTTTTAGTGCTGAATGCCCTACATTGATTCAAAGGATGATTTGTATTATGAAAAGGACAAACTGGTTTCATAGTGTCATACCGAGATGTTACCTCCACTTTCTTCGACGCTACTCTGGGTCTTGATTTGTTCTGGTCGTAGGATGGCTTCTCTTCTTTCAGATTTGCCTGTTCCACGAAGAAACTTGGATCGTTGCGGATACGGCTTAGTTCCTTGATGAAGTTCACAAAAAAGCTGAATGGTGGGAAGGGAACCCTGTGATCTTCCTTATACTTGAAGGCTGTGGATCTCCATTTCTCCTGAAAGCTAAATGGTAGTTTAGATACAATGGGCAAAACACCAACAGCAGAATCAAAGTATGCAAGCAATGACCTGTACTTATCACACAGTTTTAAACACTCAATTTCAGACAATAAATCTGCCAGCTCATACAGTTTATCATTGTCTCTCAAAGTTAACTTAGGAAAACTACCAAGTCTCTTTCTCAAGTTAATCTCTATCAACTCTGGTGAGCCATAACGTTCATCAAGTCTGTCCCAAATCTTCTGCAGACCAAGCACTGGATCTGCAGTACAAGATACCCTGATACCCTGTGCCTGCTTCCCTGACTCGGGACCGAGCCACCTAATAAGCAGGTCCATCTCCTCTGCAGCAGTGACATCAAGGTCCCTCAGCACATCCTTGAAATTTGATTTCCAGCAGTTGTAAGTCTCTGGTCTGTCATCGTAGCTCCGCAGACGTGACATCTGTAAGTCTCTCCTCAACATGTACTTGCTAAACCCTGCCGTCGGGTCAATAGGTGGACGTGTCTGTTGACCTCTTGCATCGTCAGTAGCTTCTAGGTTAGCACATCGTTCGACGTACTGCTGTGTCCTCTCGATTGAATCCTGTTGAGGCAAACCAACAAGCTCTGCATCAGCCTCCATATTAGCCATAGCTGACACCACTACCTTTTCCCGTCTCAAAACATCAAGCTCTGTCTCAAGATCCTTCTTCTGTCGAGTAACTCTTGCAAGTCTTATTCTTTCTTCCTCTTCCAATAAAGCTTGTTTCTTCTTTACAAGGCTTTCCTTAACTGCAAACTCTAGCTCCAGTTTAGCGGCTTCTGCCTTTAAACGTACAGAAGTGGACGATCCTCCTGATCGTTTGCTTCCTGCAACACTCATCTGTTCCTTTTTCACCTGATCAGATACTGTCTCTAACTGCTTTTGGATGGCATTATCTACTGTAGTCCTGGCCTCTTCGATGAAGTCGCGACGCTCATCAAAGTCAAGTAAGAAATCCTGTAGATCATTCCTACTCATAGAAGTATTGTTCCTCTCAAGAAACATTTGGTAAGCAGTACACAACGTGTAAAAATAGTCAGTTCTCTTCATAAGATCCCTTTCTTCCCGACGAAGAGACAGAATATCAACATCACAGTTAATCTGTAATCCAAGACTATTCCAGGATTCATCTATCTTAGATAAATGTCTGTCCCTAATTGTCTCATACATCTGCTCACCCCTCTCAGTCATTGTCCTCAGCCTCTTCTCACCATCCATTCCACAGTTGCCTTAGTCCTTTCAAAGTCTTTTTACTATGCTGAATAGCGAACCCGAAATCCAGTTAAATTCATCACCTTTATTCGTTGTATACATTGCTACCATACATATATACATTATGGACTTGTGTCCACTTGTCTTGTGGTGAATAGGATGTGGAATAGGGTAAAAAGCTGTAACAAATAAAGGGATCATAAGTCCATATAAACAATGAAATATAGTCCTCAAAATGTTTTACAAACATCTCCCATTAACTTTTATGTCAATCCATGAATACATGTATCTTGAACTGTTATGGTAAAGCAATGTACCAATGAACAAAATTATATAAGCCAGTGTCCTTTAAACCTACTTTCATGAACACGTTAATATGAATAACACATGAAGAAATTTCAAGTAAATACCATCAAATTCCCATGAAAATCGACCAAATTACTATGGTGAACATTCAGAAATGAAATACCAACAATCTCCATAAATATTAGGAAATTCCACAACGAAAGTAAATTCATTAGGTAATGGTTTTATCCATATGAAATAGGAAAAATATATGGTAATAGCATTACAATGCTTAGAATATACCTGTAGCATGAAATGTGCCATAAATACAAAAAGTAAAGAATACATACACTTTGGTGATTCACTGTGGGTTTGTGTGTGAAAAGGAGCAACATTTCAATGTTGACTTCAGCGTGATGCTGCCTGGCCGACTGACTCACGGCTATCCCTGTTTTAAAATGACGGACAGAAACTCTCGCTTTTAACCAACTTGCACGTGCTGATCGTGCGCAAACCGAAACCAGGTATCGGCACTGGTTTGACAAACCAGTTACGGTCCTAAGAGAAAAATACATAAAAAAGGTTTCACTGTCGTTTGTGACAGCACAGGCCTTTGTACTGATACAAGAAACAACAGGTCGCACAAAATACAAGGAGGATAAAGAAGCATGTTACCTCTTCTTTAAACATTGGAAGTACCCTATGACTCCTCTCAGCCTTCAGAGGATGAGAGGAAACACAATACGTGGGATGTAATTTCCGTCTTGACCGTCTTACCAAAATGAAGTAAGTAGAATTTTATAGTTTAGCTTCCGCTTTGATGTCCGGAACTGTGACGGACAGTCATCACAGATGTGTACCACATTGCTGGAAGATGTCTGAACCCGATCACTTACTGCTATATAGAGGATCAGTTAGTGTCCACAGTATCGGAGAGATACAGGTTCACAGAAAGAATACAACAAGAAACACATACTCCTATTTATTACCCACTTGGTACTACAGAAACAGGAACTCATCTCAAAATTGTGTCAGAACAATTGTATGGAATTAGCCTCACATGCTAACTTTGACATTTGTAATATAGAATGGACATTCATTTAAATAAATGCAAGAGCACAATTTCCCGAATAACCTATGTCTCTGCTGAACTTTTATGGCACGTTTTTGTTTACACTATAAAAAAGTGTTTTTGAATCATGATGACTGATCAAGACAGGTGTTCGCAAAAGGTGAGCGATCCTGACACTACCGCTCACCAACCACAAACAAATGCAAATAATTTCGACTTCATCTTACCTATGGGAAAATATTGGCTGGAGCAAAAGCTTGTTTCGGATGTTTCGCTACTTGATGCTCATTAAAGCGAGAAAAACAATAAGACGAAGAAATCTCAGCTATAAGAAAGGTTCAATGTACGATTCCTATAGCGTGGAAAGGCGCTATATAAATGGCCTATTATTATTATTATTATTATTACCAAGCCATTTATAAGCATCATTGTCGTCTAGTGCTGATGCCAGGTGTAAAGGTATTCTGTCAGGTGTACGTAGAAAGGTATTATGTCAGGTGTACGTAGAAAGGTATTCTGCCAGGTGTACGTAGAAAGGTATTATGTCAGGTGTACGTAGAAAGGTATTCTGTCAGGTGTACGTAGAAAGGTATTATGTCAGGTGTACGTAGAAAGGTATTCTGTCAGGTGTACGTAGAAAGGTATTATGTCAGGTGTACGTAGAAAGGTATTATGTCAGGTGTACGTAGAAAGGTATTATGTCAGGTGTACGTAGAAAGGTATTCTGTCGCACAGGTGAGAACCTTCACGAACAAAAATTGAGTTGTTCACGTGTAAAAAGCATGGGGATATATTGTTCAAGTAAAAATAGGCAAAAGCATAACATATTGTTTTGGTCATTTGTGGGGCAAATTTCGAAATAGCCTCCGATAACGTCTTTCGAAATCTTATAACCTTGAATGTTATAACCCTTGGGCAAGTGTCGCATGACCCTTACGGTCATCTTCCTGGAAAGAGCAGGATGCACTCTACTTCAACGTTGTTACATTTAGACACCAGCAGCTGGATTTGCTGGAATCTGGCTCGATGTACAGACATGTGACTAATGACGATGTCCTTATACAGTCTTGAGGGCAGCCTCTGGTCGTTATCAAACGAAATTAGTATCACCGTATTCTTGAGGCAAAACACTTTGGAGAAATATTGATATAGTTATAGATATGTTCTAGTTTGAATGCTTACTGTTTACATTTTGCACATCTTGTATCATACGTATTTTGCTCTCATTGACGGACACAGAGACATATTTGTATTAAATTTTAAATGTTATTCAGAATGTGTTTTAATAAATAGAATATACAACTCGTTACTATTATACACAAAGGTGACTTGACCGACGCCAAACGAAGCATAATCATGAGACCGTCATTATACGTGTTCATCCAATTGTCAAGGCCACGTAGTTGCATTGTATTAGCAAGGTCAGTCATAACAGTAAAGATGATAAAGATGATAATTATACACATGGCGGGAGACGCCAGTAACGTCCAGCATGAGTGAGTGAATTTAATGCTATGCCGCACTCAGCAATATTCCAGCTATATGGCGGCGGTCGATGAATAATCAAATCTGGACCAGACAATCCAGTTATCAACAGCATGAGCATTGACCTAAGCAATTGGGGTACGATGATATGTGTCAGTCAAGTCAGCAAACTGACCCACCGACCCCGTTGGTTGCCTCTTACGACAAGCATGGGTTACTGAAAATCAAGTCTAATCCGAATCTTCACGGGTCACGTCCCGCATGAACGTAATGGTAACGTTTGAGTAAGAGTCGTAGGACGATCAATACACGGTGCAGTTAACGAGAGGCTGATGATACCAACATGTTATTAAGATCCGATGTTGCGCCACTGAAGCTCTAAGACCACAGCCTGCTATTCCTTAAGAGCAAAATGCACACTCACCTAATCAAGACATTAAGTTATCTTTAAACGTGATAGAAAACCCAGCCTGTTTCGTATTTCACATGTGGGCAGAAGCCAGGACGTCAATTGTTTATTTCGACAAATGTGATATCCGAGCCAGTTTCAAGAGTGTATTCGCCTTTGCTTTTAAACGATGAACGGGTTTGTAAGGATAAAATAGCCAGAGATAATAGGGTTGCACATCAGAAATGGCAAGAATGTAAAGTAACTGTCAGATTTGATTTGGTTTGAGGCGAGATAAAACAGAATAAACAATATACGTTTGTTTGTAAAACAGCAACAGGTTTGAAAAGTTCACCAACAAAATAAGTCGTATTCCTCCCTGGATTTGACAAATACTCGATTCTTATTGGTCAAGCAGATGTTTCCAATTACACAAGTCTGAAAACGCAGTACTTGACTCAGTTTGTCAACGCCACGGCCATCATTGCTGCTCTGTGAGGTTTATCTGTAATTAATCCAGTTTAGACCAGATACTCAGTGATTGACAGTATGAGCCTCGATCCACAGAACTGGGATACGATGACAGGCAATTACGAAGGTCACCGAGCCTGACCATGGATACATTCGGCTACGATGGGGAATATTACCTTATATCCCCAAGGGACGATATGATCATTAGTTTTTGAGGATTCCAACCTCACGTGTCATTTACGTGTCATGTCTTGGAATGTTGTATTCATTAGCTCGTATGTGGCTGAACATAACAGGGACATATTATACAATGCAAGATATCAGACAGTGTTACCATAGCTTGGAAACCCAATCATAACAACTGGGGCCCAGATATCAAAATATTAACACAGTCTGCTGGCGCACTTTGAAATGTTGCTACGACATGTTAGTATCAAATCTTTGAAGGACATTTAGAAGTGGAATGCATAAGAAAAGCAAGGTTCATGGATGTCAACTTCCATATTGTGAATAACACAACGTTTCGGAGAGCATGCTTGCTTCTTCATGACGAAGCAAGCATACACTCCGAAACGCTGTGTTATTCACAATAAGAAGGTGACATCCATGAATCTTGCTTTCTTAGACATGTTAGTAGTTGTGCACTTCTTTGCCATTGTGACATACTGGTGATTGCAGCTGAAAACATCTTTCAGTAATCTTTGTCCACAATGTCTTCAACGTTGGAAATGGTTCTTCCTCTGAACCTGATTTTTTCCCGTGACACAGATATGCTACCACTTCTACTTGTTCTGGATTTATACAGATCTTCTAGGTATGATACCGTCGCCCCTTTCCGAAATTAATTTGAAACATGAAGTATTTTTGTGGCAAAGAAGTCCTACTTGAAATGATCTCGTCACACGGCGAAATCGCTTACTATGTCATTGTGATGTCGCCGAGAGAGACACAAAAAATCGTTCCATTATGTGTTTTTCGTTCATGCAAACGTTAATCATAGGTCATTTGAAATACCCCAGGAACGTTGCTAATTATAACAACAATGTAAACCACACGCTCTCAAACCAAAATCCATATGACAGGCCCGATATAGAAGGTATTGGTTAGTTTGTGAACCAAAATTACTTAAATGTACTTTTCAAGTTACCAATTGAGTTGGGTGTCATTTGTGGGGCTGGGTGCGCTCATCACTATTTCATTCTCTGTCAACGTCTCTCATGATGTAGATGACTGGATTGTCTGGTCATGAGAGCTGCAATATAACTGTCACAATAGTGTTGCTTGTGGCGTTAAACATACAAGCAA